ACTCCCACATACTCCCACTTACCGAGATTTCTAATCACAACCTTGCCGTCGCAGTAGTGTTGTAAGTTGATGGCAAAGATGTGTCGCTGTGAGGCGCTGTCAATTTTAAGGCTTACTAGGCCTTTTGCCACGTTTTTTTTTATTTGTCGCCGTGCCAACTCCGATGATTTCTCAATAATTTCACCGATATTCTTCCGGTTCGCTGTAATACCAGCGGTATTGCTTGTCGTTAGTAGCTGAAGGGTACCCAGAATAATAGAACGTCTGTCCGATTCCACGAGCAGCTTTTTTGATTTTTTTTTTTCTTTAGCGGCACTGAATCTACACCGTCTGCTACTGGAGTGCCGAACCCCAACCTTTCGTAAACAGCCGGATGCTGAGCATGCACATGCCGCTTAAAGTTCCCGGGATTGTATGTACACTGCTCGTAACTGCAGTTGCTTGCAGCAATGCACTGCAGCTGACCGTCCTGCTCCGGAAAAATCAGTCTTAGCAGTGCCTTCTGGGTTGGCTTGCACCAAGATTTTGTCCGCTTCATCTTAAAAAGAGTTTTCATTATAACTTAAAGAAAGTTGAAAATGTTTATCACTACATACCTTCAATGATTGCTTAAAATAAACGAGAATGATTGAAAATGCTGATTGCAATCGGTTCACAAAAGATCGCCAAATAAGAATCAGAAGCTCGTTCATTTACTTTTGTTGATGCTTTCGAATAAGATTCATTCACTACCAAACGTCATTACGATATACGAATAAATGATTGAGATGTGTTATACCACAGACAGACATACAAATTAGTACCGTTGTACCATAGAGGTAACTCAAAAGGTACAATCAGCTTATTGTACCATACCCCGAATACAACGTATAGTTCGTCTAATTTTACATTGCAAATGTTATGCAAAATTAGACGAGTCATACGTTGTATTCGGGGTAGTCGTATACAACGTATATTCGTTTTAAGTCAGGTAACACAGTAGAAGTCATTTGAAGTTGATGTAGCATTCCTCTGTTGCCAGTTGAAAGGGAAGGGAATCTTTCTAAAACCGAGTTCCAATCTTTTTTACTCTTGACGTGACTCTTATACACTGACTCTAACTCGCCTGTGTTGAACAATCGACCATGGGGACCCATTGAAAGGTCAGTGGGAACCAGGGGTTTTGATCCGCCATATAATCTTGACCCACCTGGTGCAGTAAAATTCTAGCTAGGAAGATAAGCTACTCATTGATTATTAAGAATTGGAACATTCTCATAGAGGATTTTTTGACTTTGGGTATGTACTTTGATTAACATTGACGTGTGTGTCTAGAGCTTGCCTTGAAAATGTTACAAGGAAAATGTCGGGATATTTTTATCCCCCATTAATTTAAGTTATAACATCTTTGCAGTAACAATTTATATTTACCAGCTGGTCTAGAGTAAATTTTGAATAGAAGACTTGAAATGAAATACAAGTATCACAATTAAATGATCTTTCTGAACAATTGAAGCACAGACAAACAGACGTAACACTTCATTGTGTATCTTCGTTCACGTATTTAACGGTTAATTTGAATATTATCAGTTCCGCGAACTACTCGCCGCAGCGCTGGCATCGGATCACTAGGACGTTTCTATACATTCTATAGAACTTTTATGCAATATTGTTTGCGAGTTAGCGAGCAAGCTTGTTTTCCGCGAGAAACCAGAGAGATGTCGTTACTGAGGACCTATGTTTTGAGCTACTATGTTTTCAAGAAAAACTTTTTCAAAGTGTTACGTCTGTTTGTCTGTGATTGAAGCATGTAATAGACAGTCAAGAGTGACATTTTAGAAGTATAAGAATTGGATGATATACCTAATAATTGAAGCTATGGCTTTTCATTGCGCGTTTATGAAGCTGGTACGCAAAAAAATGCTACTCAATGAGAATTTATAATTGATACGATTTTCAAATGGAGGGTAATCAGACGAATTTGAGTATTGAACATAAATTTAGATGTAATTGGATATGTTTCGACTGCTTACAATGACATTTTTTTTAAATAAAGATGAATATTAGATAAAGTAATTTAGATTATCGATCTGAATAATTGAAGTTCTTAAAGTCAGGTATTCAGTGAGATTGGAATTCTCAGTGAATATTTTAAAAATAATTGGGACTTCGATCGAATGATGGATTCTCAGATGACTTTGAGATTTACATATTGATTTAAGATGAAAGCACAGACAAACAGACGTACCTCTTCATTCTGGATCATCGTTTGCGCATTTAACGATTGGTTTGGAGGGTGACGCGCTTGGCATAGGTGGCCCAAAGCGAAAAAAAGAAGAGCTACTAAATCCAATCAGCGGTTGAGGGCAGCCTTGATAGCTAGCTGCGTTCGGGGATCCTTTCGTTGTGTACTGGAGAACATCACCGGTCACCACACGCGGTGATTGAATGAGACCGGATGGAATTCAATTTTGAAATCTGTGTTAGAGAAAGCGCTTTTTGCAGGCAATCGGTGATATTTTTAATTAACATAGCAACCGAGCAATTTTCAATAGACATTTTGAAAAATGATAAAGTCTTAATTTTAATAGATTCGTAGAAAAATTTCCTATCGATTGGCGTATTAAAATCCATCATCTCGGGATCAAAATCAGATTAGACCACTTTCATGCCGCGACCGACTTTGATTTTTGAAATTGCACCCCCAATGTAGCCTTAATAATACATGATATGTTAGATTTAAACTTATGGGAACTGACATCCGATTGATGACCTTGACAAATCTCGCGACAAAGCTTAACATGTTTTTGGAGCCGAGTTATTAACGAAAGAGTGAGTTGATGAAGAGGATCGATCAATGTAGATTGGTCTATTTGAAAGTTAACGCGAGAAGTGTCCAGGAAATACTCTTTAACAAATTTATGGTGGTCCTGAAAAGGATCGTTTTGTCGTGATGGTTGAGTAATGTTGAGCTAATAAGGTGTTTTACACAGATAAGGCTGGCGAGCTGTGTGTTGTTTGGAACGCTGACGCGCTTGGCATAGGTGGCCCACAGCGCCTCACGACGAGCAACTGAAATCCGATCAGTAGCGATGCAACTTCTTCCTCCTTCTTCGGCGAATGGACCGCTCAACGGGTAGCCTTTCGTTGTGTACTGTAGAACAATCTACAACGCCACGTGCCGAAAGCACTGCTGCTGAAGATGACCATTGGACACCACCACTCACAACACGTGGTGATTGAATAAACACCGTTCGGTGAGACCGGAGTAAATTCGATTTTGAAGTCTGTGTTATGAAAAGCGCTTTTCTCGGTGATAATTTTCATTATTATAGCAACAGTTGCACATTCGTGCAATTTTCAATAGTGACCTTTTGAAATTTGATAAAGTGTTCATTTCAGCACATTTGTAGATGACATTCCAATCGATTGGCTTGTTAAGAATTAATATCCATCCGCTATTGACAGAGTTATAAGTGGTCAAATCCTGACCACTTTTCGTAACGCAGTCGATTTTGGTTTTTTGAAATTGTACCCCCAATATGTTGCTGTAGGACGTAATCCTACGTCAAAACAGGTTCAGAATTATGCAGTCATTCTTTTGCTTATATTAAGCGTCCTGAAGAAAATCCTACAGAGCCCAAGCCATAGCTTTGTTAGCATTTAAGGTAGGAGAGAGAGAGAGAGAGTTGCAAATTTGCATAGTTCTTACAGAAGAAGAACACATTTACTGAAATAATGTAAGTAACCACAAAGAAATCAGAAACAACATATATAAAGACTTCTTAACCGGATTTTAACAGTCCTATTTGATAACCATTCACATCACGGAATTTCACGAAAAAATACCAATCCCAGAAAGCTGATTTTTGACAAGATTTTTGTTTTACAGATAACATTAGATCTCGACGCTTCATGGATTATTAAATCATTTGGCACCGATAGAATTTTTTTTTTTCAGCGCCCTAAATCATGTTTAATTGAGCCCTAATTTTGCATTGGGTCTTTTTTTGGGTTGTTCATAAACTCAGTAGACCGATTTATAGAGGTTTTAGACACTCCACTCCCCCGCGTAAACAATCGTCCATACATTTTTTTGGAAATTTGTATTGACCGTAAACCTTGGTCAACCCCTCTATTAAAGAGTCATTTTTATATGACCGGTTTGATTTTTCAAACATGGTTAGATTTTTCAGTCCTAGAAAAAAAAAAATCCAGTACATATGTTAAACAGTGCAATTGCTCGCTCCTATGATGGCATCGGTGGTATTCACGATGGAGCTTAACATTTGAGATTCAGTTGTTGTGAGACACCAAGGTTTTCCTGCCAATCAAAGCGGGTGAAGAAAATTATTTCAGCCAATTAGTTATTTTCCAGAAAGTTCCGTACATTCAAGGAATTTCGGCACCATGTTTTCAAAGTTTAGTTCACCTTTATTACCAGAAAGGCATTCTCGTTGAATCAAGAAATACACAATTTTCAAAAAGCAAACCAATCTGCCCATAAGTCATGTATCCTACTGGTGTGTCTTTAATGGCCCATCACAGGCTATAAAAGGCTGACGAACAGAAAAAAAACAAAAGTACTAGGTGAAAAACTAGGACATTATTTTCCCACGCTTTGCTGACTGAGCGACCTTTGTGTATTTTGGCATATCCTTTAGCGTGTGTCGTGTGTCCTTTCCTCCTACCCATAGCAGCACGTGGTTTTGCAATCTCATCACATATGCATAGGTACATCTAAGTAGGTTGTTGATTTTTCGCGACTTTGCACGTCTTAGCTAGTAGCTAGCTGTTGCTTCCTAGCAGTTGCAGTTCACTTTCAGCCGTTCGGACAAATTGATCCCTTGTTAGCTGGAGGAGTAGTTCTTGTGCGCTGGAGGCCATTGTGCCACCCACATGTGTAGTGTGTGCTAGGTTAGGACTCGTTACTTAGTTGCAGTGAAGTAGAGATTTGGTGCGTTGCTGGTGGGTGGCACAAACTTTTTAGCAGTTAATTTTCAATAAACAAATTTACTACCCACGGAAAATGGAAGGTAAGAACTTATAAAGTTACATTTTGCGGAGCAAGGGGTTAATCAAACAACCCAAATTAGGTTGAACTGCTTTGAGTGGGTTTAGGACTTTGTGCGATGAAATAAAGTTTCAATGGACCTCGAAGGTGGTTGCGAAACACGCAAATCACGCATTAAAATTCCAGAAGAAGTGCTAAACGTTTCTAAGCAAATTGTTCCACAGTGGTTTGAAGTGGCATGATTTGCCTATGTATACAATTCTTTCAATTCTATCCAAGTCGAGTAAATTTTCGCTCCACAAAGGAATCTGAAGGGGTAGGAATAGAAAGACATTGTCTCCTATAAAGCGACGATGTCACGCAATCTACCTTCTTTGGCAACGATGATGGATGTCTCCTTGCCGTGTGACGACTTTCGGTCGATATCTTCCACCAGATCGGTGGGTTACCAGTTAAAATATTCGTGTCCCTCTGTTTGGAACGATGGTACCGAAAGATTATTACCATGTAAACAAACCGGGGGTTGGTCTATTAGCTACGTGCATCTCATCTACTGTTTTTTTTTAGGCTAGCTTGATTACGGACCTTGAACGATGCAAGGCACTACCTTGACATTACGAGCACATGCAGCTCCAGAGTTTATTGATTTCATAGACCTTATCCGTTGGAAGAAACCTAACCTATCCGCACAGCCAAACAGACATACCTCTCCGCATGCTGTTATGTGTTCGCTAATTGGCAAATCAAAGTTGGCACTCGTGGAGAATAGAAGAACTATGAGAGTGATGATGGTTTCAACATTTTACACGGTGAGGTATACGAGTGCAATCTTTAAATGCTTTTATTTTGCAAATGGAGCATTTTATTTAAATCTGGTTAATGCTACGCTAGTAGAAAACTTAAGGACTACTTAATAGACACATAATATAGAAAAATTAATTTCTTTTCAGATTTTTAGGTGTACACATAGATTTGAGCTTTTCTACCACTGTAGCAGCAACCAGATTTAAATAAAATGTTCCATTTGGAAAATAAAAGCATTTTAAGATTGCACTCGTATACTTCCCCGTGGAAAATTTTAAAACCATCATCACTTTTATAGTTCTTCTATTCTCCACGAGCGCCAACTTTGATTTGCCAATTGAACTTAGTCAGCAGCAATCACTGCTACACGCTATTTCTAAACAACCCATATTTGAGTAGGATCTACTCATATCCGTCAAAAGTAGGGCTACCCAAAATTGAGTAAACAAAGTTGGAACTGACAAGGTGATAAATGAACAACATCGTTCGGATTCAGGTCGATGTTGTCCATTCGTCATCTTGTCAGCCCCAACTTTGTTTACTCAATTTTGGGTAGCTCTACTTTTGACGAATATGAGTAAATCCTAAGCGGCGCCGGTGGTGTAGTGGTAAGCGTGATTACCTCTCATCCCAGCAGGCCTGGCTTTAATCCCAGTCGGCGCCGATGGGATGTTCTGAGGCATAACATCTCTGATTACGCCTTCCTTCGGAAGGGAAGTAAATGCGTTAGTCCCCGGTTCATGAGTTGATGGGTCGATAGGTAGGGTCCTGGTGTGGGACCTGCGTCCCTGGCGTCGGTAGCATTGGTGCTCAGCACGGAAAACAAAACAAGGGAAAAAGTAGATCTTACTCAAATTTGGGTTGTTTAGAAATAGCATGTATGGAGTTTGACATTTGAACACTTCCGCCATCTGTTGCAGCCAAGGGGGGGAGGTGGCTGTCAAATACGAACAATCGTCGCCTACCTCGCATAACTGGTTCCAAACGTAAACAAGCCATAAGAAACCTACAGCGTTTGTTTACGTTTGGAACCAGTTTCATACAAGATGATCAGTAGGCTGATTTGACAGCACGTCCCCCCCAGGTTGCAGCACATGCAGCCCTCCACAGTGTGGTCAACAAATCAGTGCCAACATTTCAAAGGGGCGTAATTGCTTTAGTAAACAATGGTTTTAGCTGTCGATTTCTCGCAAATAAAAGCCCACCCCTCCAAATTACCAATGCTAGCTGGGACAGGAAACATTCCTCTACCTGCTGGTGTCATTCATTTTCATGAGTGAGCTTTCATTCGCGAGAAATCGAAGACGAAAGTCATTGTTTACAAATGCAATTACGCCCCTTTGAAATGTTGGCACTGAAATGGTGATACACTAAAGTCTGTTTTTACACGGTTTTTTTAACTCGGTTTTTACGCGGTTTTCTGCGATTTACACGGTACGTTGTTATCGATTTTTCGACAACGATACAACCTATCGACTTGATTTCAATCACATTATCCGTTTCAAGCTATAGGTAATCGAATGGCATACTTAAAAAAAATCACAATATTTGGTGTAAATACAGAATTTTTTAAAATGCCTATATGGACCATAGCATGCTATAATTACAAACGGCATCAAAATCCGATTTATTAAAAACATTTAAGCATGTGAAAGACCAAAATCTCGTAGGTTTTTTTACACGGTATATATCCCCCGTGTAAAAAAGGCCTGAGTGTTCTGTTTTTATGCACGATATTTTACCTAGGGGCTTAAGGCTTGTACTCGAAAAAAATGCACCATTTTTATCCGTGTGTAACTTTTTTATCCGTTGATAAAAATTGATGAAAATCTGGGCATAACTAGTTTGGAGAGATTTGTATACATGTGCAAAATTTCGGTTCAGTGGTTATTGAGATGTCATCGAAACAAGAAGAAAATCGCCGGAGAATTTTGCGCGCCGTCATGGAAAATCCGTCTGCGACCATGAGATGTATCGGAATACATCTGGGAATCACCCATACAACCGAAGGGGGCGACAGATCTAAATCTCAATTCTAGGTGCTCAACAAATCTCATACTAGCGAACCAATCTTCGAAAAATCATATTTCATTTCTCCCATCTACTTGCATCGCGCATCATCTTTTTGCAGGAAATCTTCAGAATCGTCATCAATCTTCTTTCTATCTACTCAGCGTGCGTGCAGCTAACCACAGCAAAACAAAAAAATTCCTGCATCGTATATAGAGTCACCCCCCTCGGGTCTTAAGGGAAAGGTGCGGGGTTTCAGCGATGGAAAGGAAATTGAATAAAGTAATTATGCCGAAACATAATCCATATGTATTAGTTCATTCCGTGAAAGTTTCAAGAAAATCCGACTTAAAATAAATTTTTGGCGAACACTTTTGTCTGGTGCATTTTTTTTTCGAGTACAGGCCTTATAATGTTCGCAATATTGCCTACAAATTCCCAAAAAATATCCCGAAAATTCTCTTAGAACTCTTCGTCGAGTTCGTTAATTATTCTCGCGTAATCTCCATGGAATTATCATCGGGATTCCCTCTGAATTTTACCCAGATGTGTGACCCCATAAGTTCCTTGAAAAGTTCCTCCAAATTCCCTTGGAACTCTCATTTGAATAATCTAAAAATAATCATCGGTATAATCTTAGAATTAGAATACACCTCGGAATACACGGAATTTCCCAGGTATTTTTTTGAAATTTTCATCAAAATACCGTTGTAATTCTCATCGGAATTCAATTTCTTTGGCATACTTCTAAGAATTCTTTGCAAGTATCCTCAGTATTTTAATCGAATTCTTCAAATCCCCCTATAATTCAGAACGCTGGCTCTGGTGGCACGTTCCCTTACATATGGGAGATTTGTGCCTCAAATACTATAGAATTACAGTCAACTCTCCACAAATCGATGTCCCTTTCAATGCTCATAGAAATTTCTTGATATTCTGCTCAAAAATTCTTTGCAATCCTTCTTTGAATCGACATGTAACTCTTCAGAATTATCATGAAATTATCTTCAGAATTCTCAAGGTAATTAACCTGAGAATATCATATGATTTTTTCCCTAAAATATGTCTTAATTAGGCCAGTGACAAGGCCTATACCAACAGCAGCGTTTGACAGTAGGCAGCATGTCCCGGGCTCAAATCATTTATTTTGCTGTGCTGGGCCCGCTATCACTGTATAACATGTTGCCTACGCGCCTGCCACTGGGCTGGTCTTAATGCTATTCAGGATTCCCTTGGAATTCTACTTAAAATTACCCTGGAATCTGAAGTTCATCAGAACTACATTGAAAGCAATCCTCAGTATTATATTTATTTATAATTTTCTTCACAATCTTTTCCATAACTCCCTTGGAATACTCGTCCAAATTCCCTTGAAATTCTTTGAAATTCTCATCAACTTAATTTATCAAAGTCTATGGGCGTTGAAAATTTGGCTATATTGCTGACGTACTCCAATACATTATTTCCTTAAAAAAATAATGAAATGAACTGAAATTGAAATTGAATGAAAAAGTTATGATTTGATATTCATCAACATGCAAAAGGTAATGTTGTCAATAATTTCCAGGTATTAAAAAAATAGATATCTATATTGTCACGGAAAATGACAACGAAAATAGAACCAAAAAATATGTAACATTAAATTAGCGGTTAATTTACTTTTCGGACCCTGTTCTGGACTTTTCCCAACATACATTTATCAACCAAAAAGAAATATTAAAGCCTTCGGAACATTGTGGTTAAGGGTGTCCCCAGAGCGTAAAATTATTGACTATCTAGGCTGAGTGTGAAAGCACTGCACTATTCAATCCATTGCTCTGTGCAGACCGTTTGTACCAAACGGTAAAGGACGACCCTAATAAAAATTGTATGGTTAATTTGCTTAACGACGTGTTCTGGGTATCATCCAAACCATTTGTGGAATAGTTCAATGATTTGGGTTACCGTTCGTTTATGGTTATTTTTTATTAGGGGAGGCAATGAAAGAGCCAACAAAAACATTCGGTCACTCACGAGCAGGCGACGCACACCGCTTGCCTTCGCTCACACAGCATGTAATTGAGTCATTTTTCCACAGAAAATGTACGCTCAGTCATTCAAAACAAATATTGTGTACCACTAGGTGTACCATCACGGCAGAATAAACGTGTTGACTGAGCTACTGACTGAGTGCTCGGCTGTCAGTGACTCGTTTACCTCTCAATCATG